CTTTTACCATGCTGGTAATGTTAAATACTACAAAGGTCTTTCTCTCCGTTCTTTAGGAGAATTTATAGTACGATAAGCAACAATAAAGTCCTCAATTTTGTTTGTACTTACCTAGTTTGTTGATTACAATCTTATTTAAATTGCAGCGATGTAGTAAAGGTGTGTTAAACTAAGATATTATTTTTCTTCAACATGAAATACTCATAGATCACAAATAGTAAATGTTGTTTGACAAAAAAAAAACAATAATTTTTAAAAGTACGGTATGAAACTGGTAAATGGGAAAAACTATGAAATATGAATAAAAATAATTAAAAGTTGGTTTTGGACAAACTTCTAGGTTTGGCGTTATCGATTTAGTAAGGAAACTTTTACTAAAGTAGATAGAGTTTACTGTTCTTTATTCTCGAAATAATTTGAGGGGTGATCAATTTTTACTACTGTTACTAAATATTTAGCATTTTTCTAGCCTTTTTTAGCATAGAGGTATTTTTGGAACTCAATATTTTCAACTGTAGTATTAAAAATCCAATCTCCTACGAATCAGAAGGTTTTTGATTGCGGATGCATTTAATAATAATAATTTTTTTAAACAATTATTTTAATTCTTGCATTATTATTGCTTTAGACTACACAGTTTTACGAGTTTACTACGTTGTTAGAAAATTAATTAAGTATTTTTTGACAGAATACAAAATAAATACATTCAAAGTTCCACCAAACTAAATACTTCTACTATATTTTATTTCTTTCTATTTCCTGTATTTTCCCATCTTATTAGAATTCTCTTTTAGAATTCTAATAAGTTGGAACTTTCTTTAATTACTGTTCTGGGAACAGTTGTTAAGTCCGTACGCTTCATCACTTTCAACGCTGAAACTAACAAAACTTTAAACTACTACGCACCAAAATGAATGAAGTTTATGTTTATTTGAAAACTTACACTAAAAGTATTCAAAATTATTTACTTTGACATTCAGTGTAAATTAATTAATTTATACTTTTTTGTCACATTATATGCAAACGGCAGAAGAGAAATGTTACGTATATAACAGAAAACATATACTCGTCGAAAATTATTGTTTTATACGTTGGATAAATCGACGTCACCAGCGTTTTGATAGAAGGAATTTGTATATTACCTTATTTACCTATTGCTTTATATTTTTTCAGGAATTTCATTGTAACAGATAAATTACAACTCAGAATAAAAAAGCTTTTTATATTTCTTAAAACAATTCATCATTACAATTACTTGTCGACACATGAGATTCGAGAATACCAGTACGCTGAGGTTTAAGAATTAATGCTTGAGATAAGATTTACTTAATCACTTTTTGAAATGATATTATCAGTTTCTGATAAAAATAACAGTAGATACGGTGTTACCATTTGTCTAGAATTAATAAAATACAACGGATCTTACATTAAACTACAAATAAATCCACACTGATTTTATCAAAATTTCAGTCTGTTAATTATGGGTAATTTACAAAAAAATCGTATCATACTTAAAGCGCCACACTTTTAGATGTTATCGAACTTTCTTTAGGGTTATCAAAAAAAAAGTTCTTGGATTTTAACTATATGATAGGTCATGAATCAATGTGAAGAAACACATAGGTTTAGTGACTGGTAAAATAGACACCCGACCATCTCAACATGCCTACTACCTTACATATTCTTCTTTTCTACCTCCTCAAGCTCTATGTAAATTTTGAGTACTTAGTATTTCGCCTCTGCATCCACAATATTTTGTTTACAAAGATAAACACTTACATGTTTAGGACGAGTTCAGCTATGTATTGTATCCCTATGATGCTTTCGAAGAATGCTCCCGAGGTACAAAAAATTGAGAATTTTATGAATTACTGTACCAGTTTCTGATCTCTTTAGGTATAGCTTCTTTAGCTTATTTCCTGTGTACTTTAAATATAACACCATCATTACATCTTCCCGAAATTAGCCTTGGTCTCCTTCCTACAGATTTTTCAATTTTTATAAGTAATCAATTTGGTTTTGGCTGTACAAAGCCTCAAAAATACTATGTGAGAATGTTCTAACAAATACTTAAGTCAACAGACAAAAACAGGAAACTTGCACTTTCTTATTCTATGAGCCCTAAAATGCGAAGGATACGTTATACATTATTCAAAACAGTCTTATTAAAATACATCTCTTGTCTATCGTTCCAAAACACAAAAAAGGATTACACCAGTAATGGAAAAAAAACATTCCAGATTTTGCTAGATATTATAGTGATCCTGCACTCAAAATCGCATTAACTGTTCCATATTTTTTGAAAAAAAAAAAAACTTTACGCATCTATTGTTAAGAACAAAAACAAACAAATCATTAATAATTCCAACACCTGACTCGATTATTTCTCTTCGTTAAGACATTTCTGTTCCCGCAAAAATATGTACACAATTTCGTGGCTCGTCTTCGCTCCAACAGCGACGAATTACACAAAAAGCAATTAATTTCCAGGCCGAAGAATCCACGTGTAATAACGTTCTACCCATGATGAGTCAGTGAACTTCCAGTTTTTACCCTCTCCTGTACGAGCGTTGACGAAATGACAAATTATAACTGAATATGGTCGTCAACGAAAACTTTACGTGCTAATGGTATAAAAAGCATACATTTATAGGCGCACTGAATTTTATTTGTTCACGTGTAAAAAGCTCAAAACGCTCATTACAAAACGTAATTTTCATTTTAAGTCACGGCAAATCCTTGTTTCGTGTAATCCTTTCTGCATGATGTGTGTTTTGTAGACATATTGCTATACGATATATATGCGTGACTGCCAGATAATTTTATACACATACTACAGTTTATGTTTAGATTAACTCTAATTTAAAATATGTTTAGCGTGTTTATTACAAGCGTAAGGTCATTAAAATCAGCGACAATTTAATTTTTTAATTTTTAATCACACTCCAACATCTTTGATAAGATCGTAACGTGATTTTGTAAACGTTAAAAGTCAACTTCTTTTTTTCTTAAAAAGAATCAGTTTTGCATTTTCCCTAAGCGTTAGTAATTTAATTATAGAAGCATCAAAAAATGGACCATCATCTTGCAAAAAATTAAGAATAAAGAAGGGTAAATTTTACAGACTAAAATCTGTTTAGTATCATGAAAATCCAGTTTTCTCACCTAAATCGCCTTTATATTTTCACCCCTGTGCCTTAACTCAATCTGGGATCACCCCTGATTCCCTGATTTTTAAAGCAAATATATAGAGGTTCTAATATGCGAGAGGGAAAGTAATGGCTTCGTTGATCCCAGAGATGGTCATTTTTTATCAAAAGTTGTTCAATGTTTCTGAAAAACGTAACCGACAAATTGGTACGTCTATATAGAAGCGAAATGATGACTTATAAGATAAATTAAATAATAATAATGGAGTTTGTATTTAGTCTTTAACAACACACAAAATGAATTCAAAGTCATAATTAGATCCAAACAATAAGGACGGTTGTTTACAATCTTAGATTAAACTTAGTGCTCAAATTAAAATTATTATTTTAAAATATTACCTACCACTTTGCCGCTGATCGACTATAAAATCTTCAATAAAAAAACTTGCATGTTGAAAATTTCAATTTAGCTTTTTTTACACGAATAGATAACGGAATGACAAAACTTCATGATGAATTGTGTAAAATACATCTATCAAGTTCTTCAGAAATCGGTAGGTTTTTGATAACCAACAAAATCGGCGCAAATTCTTCTGTATAAAATGCATTACCTATGAATTTTGTACGCTGCCAACTCAGATGGAACCCTCACCTCTAATTTAATTCTTAAAATTTATACAGTTTTTCATAACTTTCTTCTGTTTCTATTTTCTTCTTCCTTTTTTTTTTATTTACAAAGAGCCACATTTTATAGCTGCTTGAAACATAAATTAAATAATACTTAAACATGTTAAACAATTATAAGTGTATAGTACCTTAAATAACTCATGTTTTCGTATGTACTTCCTATGTTTAAACCATAGGGCATACTGTTGTGTGCTAATTAGGATTGTAATTAACATTAATTTAGAAACCTATTTCAGCCACATGTTAGTGTTATAATATTAACTGTTTATTTGTATATGATTTGTTAATAAATAACAGGACTTACCTACAACCATATAAAAATTATGAGTACAATTCAAAATAAGTAAATGGTTTTTCTAGTTTAAGCTCGATAAATAAAAGAGACAAAAATAAGAAAACACACGTTAATATAACAATCGTTTCTGTAGTGAAAGAAGTTGTGGAACATTGCGTAAAACAGCTTGCTAAGCAAAACTTTTCCTAATCGAATTAAAATAATTTCCATAGGGTAAAGCATTATTCATGTTTGACTTTCATCAAGTGAAAACAAATTGAACTAAACTGTATTTAAATGAGCTACAAGAGTAAAAATTGCAATTTGAATAATTGAGTCCTTATCATCTGAAATCAAATTTAAATTACAATTTTAAATTGACTTTGTTAAGAAATTTATTATTTATTCCTAATAATACTACCAAAACAAGACGCTATAAATTTCTAATGTTCGCTAATAATTTCTAATTAATACCACGAAAGCCGAAATTAAGATTAAATATTGAAATAAGTAGCGAATAATTATTCTGCATTTAGAGCATGCTGCGTGGCCGTAAAACAAAATATCTTTTAATTAAAAAATTCTTGTAATTCGAAATTAAACAACAAAAAGAACAAAAAATAAATGAACTCAAAAAATTTCACTTTTCAAAATACTGAATACTTATTATAATTAATGGGCATAAAATGTGATGTTTATCTTTATCTATGTTGGTGTAGGGATACTGCTGTGCTTATTTAACGAAAAATACATCAAATTTAGTGTTCACTGAAACGGTGCATAATACTTATGCTGTATGAGATTAGTGAATCACCTTTCACCATTAATAATCTCATTAGTAGTGAGTATAAAAGTGTTCATCTTGTGATCTTATCAACAGTCCAGCTACGTCCTTCAAACAGAAACCATGCACAGACACATTACATTAGTAGTAAGTTTGTATCAGATTTTGTAAGAATTAAATAAACATGTTTTTCTTTTACAGTCGAAATGTCTGCATATCGCAGCTATTTCAGTCTTAGTAAGTGCCAAAATCGTCCCAAATTATTACACATCTTCAACAAAGAAAAGCGATGAAAACAGTCAATTCAATATTGGACAAATTCCACAATATACAAACTTGAACACTGTTCAAATGGGTGATCTCGAAAAGTTGGTGAAGCAAAGTTTGGAACACATCTTCAAAAATCAGGAACTGACGAACGATGGTATCAATAACTTCGGTTTAAAAACTTCAGCTATCAAAGACTCTGGACTTGATTTATCTGACGATAAATCAGCTGAAGATTTGGATTTATTATTATCGCCACACATCCTGAAGGTTCCCGTACCACAACCTTACCCTGTTCATATTCCAGTAAAACAACCGTTTACCGTGCCCATCTTCAAACTGGTACCCGATGAAGTTGAAAAGAAAATTCCCATTCCCGTGGAAAAGCTTGTACCTGTATACAAAGAAAAACCAGTCAAAATTATTGTGGAGAAACATCATCCAGTTCCTGTTTATAAACCTTACCCTGTGCCGGTTCCTGTAAATACGCATGTTCTGGTTGGAAACAAAAAACAGCAAGCTAAGTGGTATTAAATTATTAGGTGTTACATTGTTATTTTGTTCATAGTAAATTATTTTTGTTGTTGATGATGTTAATAAAACTTTCTGTTGCATTTAATACATTTGTGGTCATTTATCGTTCCAAATTCATTCATTTAACTTATAAGATCTATTTTTACAGTGCGACAAGAAAAGTGAATAAAAGTGAGTAGTCATCTAAAAGTTGAGGATTTACTTAAGTCACAAATGTAAATCATACGCAGCCACAAGCTTAAAAAATTAATATCTACGTTTACTTTATTTATTTTTTTTATTTTTGACAGGAGCAATAAAATTATTTTGAATTTTCTTTAATACAATTATACCCTCAATAACACGTTTACTTCTCGAGTGTGAGCTACGGAAGTATTGTAATTGAATTCCTCCGGCGCATGGTTATTTTCATATTTTTTCAACGATTCATGACTACAATACAAAAAAATCGATCTCCGAAACTAATAACGTGATTTATGAATCCGTATCGACTTATTGCCCTAGAAGTCCTGATTTTTGGAAAACCCCACAACTGCTGATTTAACTCGGTCTAGACATTAATACTACCCTAATAGCTTCCCGACTCACAGGGAGAGCTTCAGTAGAGCAACACGTTCTCCACATTGTTTCAGACGTTTTTAATAGATTAAGATTCCATTCAGATATCTTTTCATTTCCAATTGACAGTTTTGTGCGGAGCTGGTCCGTGGAAACCGTACGACGCACTACATCGTACTCCAGTTCCATGGGTACTGGTAGATCTGGGCCAGTGCATCATTTAGAAATTTAGTAGGTAAACTTGGAAGTCCGTGACTTCCAAAGTTGTGCTTTAAAAGAACACACTGCCTCTCGCCTTCCATACTGCTAAGGCTAACCATCATCCAAGCAAGCTTCTCAAGTTCGAAGGGTCGGATCTTGTACTTGTACAAGTAGGTTCCATCGACCAGAGAGACCAGTATTGGGCGCCCATGCCACTCCACACCTGGCCTTCGGCCCCTCGAAGAAGGTGGAAGTTGGCATAGAGCAAGAGAGGTTAAACGTTAGCGCTTCATTGACATCATAGATTAATTTCCTAGTAGTTGTACCGGAAAGCATCATCCTGCAGTCTCTCAAGTCCGCCATATCGCGGCAAGCGCCGAGACGGTCAGACGGTACATACTTGTCAAATATTGATCAGTTCTTGGATATTGTACATATTGTTGTAGCTCAACATCGCCAGAATGGTAGGGAAATTTAGAGAACTTGACAAAGTTGTCGGTTGAAGGAGATTTTGGGGCCGTTTGTTTTTCCAATTAAATTTTATTTCTACCTACTCGTACTATACAGTTTTAATTCCCTTAAGGAGTCCACAGCATGATAAACTTAAATCTAATATTAAATAAAACCATAGAAAAAACTCACATGTTTGAACAATTTAAAAGTTGTCCTGTGTTTGTTATAATATTAAAATGAAAATAATTGCTTATTAAACGAAATGATCAAGATTTAAAAGTGACAGAATGGCAAAGTATACACCTTTTTTGATTCCGCGCAAAACACACAGCGTTGTATCTTTGTCACATGTGTGGCATTTGGGAAGCATTCATCTTTGTTTTCATATTCATATAGTTTCTTATTGGCATTGAAAAGATGTGTAACAAAAAAAATTTGCTATCTAAAGAATTACCATATTCTGATATCTTATAAAACATCAAAATGTAAACATTATGTTGAAAATAAAACACGCACATGATGTGCTAGCGTAATTTTGGCTTTCAATGGTCATTATCATCAGCTGACTCAACGGATCGAACATCATCTAGTTTCAGTACCAAAAAAATATTCGAATCTGAAATAGTAATACTTGAATATGGTCTCAAATACTGGCGTATAATAGAATATTACTTTGAATATGCAAGACTTACTAATTACAAATTCACTGATTAACTTACTACAAACAAAATTCTCTTATCATTTTCTCCCGATTTTTCAAAACGATAACACTAATCATGGCAAGATTGACAACAGGCAGTACAATTTAGTAAACAGCACCATACTGACGAAACATAATCGGTTCACATCTCCAATCTAACTTCTTAATTAGATTACACTACGCTATATTGTGTGACCAAAAACTAACAAGTTCCATAACCAGTCAGCATGGCCGATAGCTGAGAGTTGGTAAATTTTATGGCCTGTTGGATTAGTGTGCGGTCGATAGTTCGGCTGCGACCCGATTTACTCGGTTACGTCTCTCACCTATAAATACTTCCACTTGCTCGAATTCATTTGAGCCAATGAAACAAATTGAAATCTTTACCACTTGTATCCGGCAGATAGTTTTACTTGTAGACAATATAAAATCGTCTAAACCAACTTCAGGGGGCGTGACTTGAATCATTTATCATTGTTAAAGGGTCTTGGAGGTCTTTTTTACAAGATAATCTCGGCGCAGAATGAGTCTGCTAAGTCGACCACCTTTAGATAACAGATTCTAAAGATTTCTTTTACAAGGGTTAATGAACGATAAATTGTTTTATGGAGACTACGGAAACGGGACAAAAAAGAATGTGTTGTAAAGATTCATTAAATTAGCTAGACTTTATCTCATCAAACATATCATTTTAATTATTATCATAAATTACAATACAAATTTAGATTAAAATGTTCTCTCAAATACTAACGAAAAAACATTTTTCACTCACATATAATTATTATTATTATTGACATCCAAAATATGATTAATAAATCATAACGGTTATAGTTATCTACACAGCTAATACTGAATGTCTCCTACTTCACTTATTTTATCAACTTATTTTACCCAAACAATCACTACTGTTTCGTGGCTTTAATTAAGAATTTTAATTTTAAATGTAACAGTTAAAATAATGTCAATATTGTTATAATTATGCCTCAAATGTTTATTTTTTATTAATGCAACTATTGGTCCAAGCTGGAAAATTTTTGTTGCATCATTAAAGTTGTATTATCAAATTATCTGTTTTTCGCTTCTTAAGGTTAAAATTTGTAATATAAGGTCCACAGTGATATATGTCAATCATAAAAAAAAATTTTATCTGGCGTTTTAACGTAACTAGTAATTGAGACATCCTGGAAAGGATTTAGCATGTCGCTGATTAAACCTACACTCATAAATGTCAAAAAATGACAAATATTCTTACAAGCAAAAATGGTGGACACTTTTTAACAAAATCTTTAATACAAAAAGTGTGAAATTTATTGCAAAATTAATTAATTTTATTACATAAGCATAAATAAGCTCTTCATTTAACTCCATTGATCACATGGCTCAACATCTGTATAAAATTGTTTATGTCGTTAATTATTTATTCTGTTATTCTCAACTTTAATTCCTCCAAATTGTTGACAGGTGTTCGATAAATAGTGTTCTTTAAATAGGAGCCACAAAAAGTCTGCAGCAGTAAAGGAACATCTAGCAGTGGTCAGATACCTATTCTCTGCATTTCGACTAACGATCCGGTTGTGAAAAAAATCCTGTAACATTGTTATTGTGAACCTAGCCGGATGTGCTTCTGTCTTGCTTAAAATCACCTACTTCCATTTTGTCGTTGTGAAATTATTGAAATTTCTTACTTTCTAGTTAAATTACACTGAATAAGCCAGGTAGTAACAAGATTACAATTAATTTTATAAAATACCTATCTAACAAAATCCTACTTAAGTATATGACTCACACAATCAAAATTTACCTCGCACGAACTACTAATCATATTAAAGTGCACATTAATAAGGTTAAGGGCGGTTTGTTGAAAATACCGACTGACTATAAATGTTTGTGATTTTATCATCAGGTTGACAAAATTTATTTAAAATTTTATGATGACATATCAGAGGTCAGATTCAAATTTTGGACAACAATTCAGTAACTGTCATCTTCTCATTGGTTTTTAACCGCACTCGTGTCAGAATTGACAATTGTGAACAGAGACATGTTAACATTGCTGCTAATACTTAATTCAGAATTGGCAACCCAAAAATTTAATAAAAAAAGTTGCCAGTTTTGTTCGTTAACAATAATTGTAAGCAATATGTTAGTTCGACAGTTGCAACCTATTGTTACGAAATACACCCATATGCTGCCCCGGTAAGACGCCTATGGGCATAAAGAAAAGCCTGGAGCGGATTGCTGGAAGTTTCGATTATGGTGTCCAGAAAAACCTCGAAGCGGCGTTCACGAAGCATCCGGAGGAACGTAAGGGCTTAAATAGAGGCCATCTTCGGGAACGAATTATTCAGCCAACGAGTCGAAGTCCAGTGAATGTTGAGAAAATCCACTCAAATTGCGCCCGAATTATTTTGCACATAATCCTTGCATAATTAGTCGTGTACTTCGTAACACTATTTTTAGGCATCAATATAATAATTTCATTTATTTAATCCATCAACTGAAAGAAAACATATTTTTAATCAAAGTGGAGAGTATGGGAAACCCCACATAGACAAAAATTATTCTTGTTATCAGAATTTAATCCATTTCTTCATTAGTTTTTTTGAACTGGGTTAAGAAGCTATATTTTCTACTTTGTACAATTTTAATATTAATTTTACTTCAGAATAGTTTTGGTTTGAAGACCCTAGCCAAAACTTCACTTATAAAGTTCCAATCATTTAAATCTGAGAAAAAAAAACTGGGTAATTAAATTTTTATAGTTTTAAAACTCTAATGTAACGCACTGTACTAATAGAAAAACATTTTATAGATAAAGTTGCAGACAAAACTTAGCGACAATGAAACGTCATTTGTGTCAAAATTTTCTGGAGATTCGTATATTATAACATAAGCTATACACAGATGTGGGTTTAGCCACAATTCAATGTGATAAAAATTTACCATAGTGTTATACTAGACGCAAACGTTTAGTGCATTTATGGCTTCACACCAATTTAACTCCCATTATAATAATTCAATAGGGGGTCACAGCCGGACATCTTAAACCCGCTTACTAATAATCTACCTGAAAAGACCTTTTCTGGTAAAAACACAGGGCAGTACTGTCTCGGCCATTACTCACACGTGGCATGGTTT